GAATTACTAAATTTGTTAATTAGATCGAATGTCCCTTTCAAATGAAAAGAAACGTAGAGTTTTCTATAATGGCTTAAATATGGTAATGATCATTTTACAAAAGAGTATAGCTATCGTTATCCCGAGTTATCCCCGAGTCAATAAAAAATATCTTGGCCAAAAAAAATTATCTTGGCCAAAAAAAAATAATTCATAAAAAATAAATAAAATCAATTTTTTTTTGTAAAAAAAATTTGAAATAGTTTTTGAATAGTTTAAAAATTTATTATGGTTAAATAATTTATTAATTTATCATGGTTAACATGATTATTAATTATAACTTTTTACCTTATTATTTTATTATGAGTATTAAAAGAGATTAAATGATTGTATTAAAGGATAATAAAAAGGGATTCTATAATTCTTTATACATTATAATCATTTAAAATTTATATGATTATACATACTTAAAAAAATCTCATATTTTCGCCACAAATAACCACAAAAACCACAAAAATCACGAGATCAACAACATTATTATTAATCAAAAAAGGAAATGGAAGGAACAACAATGAATTACCTAAATTAATAAATTCTAAATTTTTTTCGTAATAATAACAAACACGGGTTGTACCCCCGGGTTAAATTCCCGGTTTTAACCGTGGCGTATTATAAGATTATAAGGTATTAATAAGATATTATTTAACAAATATAACAAATATGGTAAATCTCATTCTTAAAAGATTTTATTTAAAATAGGTATTCAAATTCCGAATGAGAATTCCATTTAAAGATTAGATAATCCTTCATATTCCTAATATTTAACGCAGCAAAAATTAATTTTTTTCCAATTAAAGGTATCAAGGTAATCAAGTGGTAAAAAAAAAAAAAAAATTAAAAATATTTTTTAATTAAATCTTATGACTTTGTTTCCGATAATGAAATGCAGGAAAAAAAAAAATAAAAAAAATTTATTATTATTCTTTCTTCTTTCTTTAATAAAAAGAAAATATTAAAATTGCATTCTTTTTGACACACATGCATGATAATGAAATGATTGTTTCGAAAAAAGAAAAATAACTGTTTAACCTCTCATAAAAAATATTTATTTTTATTATCAAAAAAGGAAATTTTGAAAATAAATTCTATAAATAAAATAAGGGGAAGGAAAATAACATGAGATTTTTCTTTATCAATTTATTGATACAATGAATTAAAAGATTATTTATATCATTATATCGGTTAAATACGGTAACTATGATAAGAAAAAATAAAAAATAAAAAAATAAAATTTCAGGAAATTTATCTTGGCAAAAAAAAAAAATAAACGGTTTTGTCAGTTCAAATAATTTTTTTTTTAAAATGATGAAAAAAAAAAAAAGGAAAAACTTAACATCCATTAAAAATTTACGGACCGTGCACTATCGGTAGGTTTTAAGAAATTATCGGGTCAATCCTAATATCAAATATCGGTCTTTGTTTCCTTATAATTGATAATGGTTGAATATCAAATTTTTTAAAGGGATTTTATGAGTTTTATATTAAAGTCTTTATTTCCTTTCAAATAATTAATTAATATCAGGATTTTTGAATTTTTTACGGATATGAAATTTTATGAAATTTTTTGTTTTTTATTCCCAATAAATTATTCTAATAAAAAACATTTTTTTTAAAAGGCAAATTTTTATAAGGCAAATAATTTTGATAATCATTGTTTAAAAAAATCTTTTTTATTTTAACTGGAAATTATTTACTAATCGATTTATGGAAATCTTATGTTCATATATTGTCATTATTTATTTATTTATTATTTTTAAGGGAAACAAAAATGAACGCATTTCTCATGATTTGAACAAAAGCACGGGACATAAAAAAAAAATTTCGCACTTTTCATTCCTAATCACAATTTTTTCACATTATTATTTCCCACTTCTACTACGGAAAGAAATTTCGGTAAAAATATGAAACAATAACCCCGTTTGCTGCGTGTAATCAATCATTTCTTGAAGTTCTTACTTTATATTGTATAACATGTTACTCGGCCGATAATATTTTAATCTTCTTTTCTTTTTTGATAACCCAAATAAAAAATTTTTTTTTTTTTCCTATTGTCAACAAGAAATTAACAGGATTTTATTTTTTTTTTAACGGTAAACCATTTAACCGATTTAACGATTTAACCGATATTACCAATATTTAAGAAATGATTTTCCTGACGATACGCAGTAAATATGAGTAATATTACAAATTGACAAAATGACAAATTTATCATCATCTCTTTTTTTTTTTTATGACATAAAAATTACAAAGATATCGATTTTTACGGCATATTTTAAAATCGGACTTTGCCGTGGTAAATTGATATCGAATTTACGTACTCCAAATCCACATTTAGTAGATAATGTGTTACCTACTTTTCACTCGTTTAGTAATAACTTTTAGTAATATTTTACTTGTACTGTACGTCACCAGGGACGATGATTTTTTGTGATCACAGAATTTCACAGAAAATCACAAAATTTGGCTATAAAATGTTGATAATTTTCAAGTTTTTGGCCTGATTTAGGATTTGAAATTATTATAATTCCGGCAGACACTAAATTTGGCCAGAATTTACGAATCGTAATGTTGGCCAACCTTGCATAATTCTGGCCAAATCACAAAATTTCACAAAATTTACTTTTATCACACACAAAATTTACTTTATACCGCCGCAAAAAATCATCGTCCCTGTACGTCACTCATTAAATTTATTTAAACCAAATTATAATTGGTTCAAACAATTGGTTCTCCAATCATAATTCAATGCACGCCCAAAATTTTTTTTGGGCGAAAAAAAAAATAAAAAATATTAGATACTTGCTAACTACTCGTTATTCAAAAATTATTATGTGTAGTAAATATTTACTATTTAAAATAAACGTTGTAACATTTGTGACATTAAAAGGTTCTTTGAAACGCGTTTAATTATTGTTTACGCGGCAATCGCGGCATTTTTGTTTCATCAATTTAATTAATTGTTCCAACTTTAGTTAAATAAAGCGAGGCAATTTTTACGGCGGAACAAAGACGGTATACTTTTAAAAAGCATTTATATTGTATTGCTTTATAAACATGGCTTTACTTTATGGCTTTACTTTATACCTTTACTTTATATCTTTACTTTATCTTTATATGATTTATGACTTTGTAACTTTATATCTTTATATGATTTTATGATTTTACTTTGTAATTTTATAACAACAATTAATAAAGTGTTTTTTTTGTTTTTTTATGATTTCATGCAAATAAATTTATTTTCATTTCAAAATAAATGCAATTTATGTTCTTTATGCTGTGTTCTATTTTGTCTATTTACAAAATGATTTTAACAAAAAAAAAAAAAAAAAAAAAAAATTT